TCCTCAGGGGATTCATTTTGCAAAGTCTCAGCAATGGGGGTGGCAACAGGCAAGGACACAGCCAGTCACTCACTCCCAGCACCTCACAGTCATTTCCCATGAGCCATCAGGTGCCTGGAACCAACAGAAAGAGGAAATGAATGGAGACGTGGTGGAAATGATGACGCTTGTCCTGGGGGTCCCTAATGATGACAAGAGCTCAGTTCCTCAGCACTGATAATGCTCTGACCTCTGGTGTCTGGATAGCGAGTATCTGGCTCCCAATCTTTGCGGATATCCCTGGTCCTCAGGAAGCCTACCCCGACTGGGGACTCTGAGACTCTAGAGACGTCCACAGAGTGCAGGCAGCACTCCACCGGGGCTTCTGCAGGACCCGTTATTGGAAGGCTGGCCACTAATTGACCGTGAATGGAAGGACCCAGATGGCACTGAGGATTCTTAAGACATCGGGGAGCTCAGCCTTGTGTTCAGTAGAACATGAAGGGCCTAGGTGTTTGCCCTCCTGTCCACAGATAGTAATTCTTGGGAAATGGCCACAGCTGTCCCTGTGGGGCAGCTGGAGGGACTGGAAGTTCGTCATGGTAACACTGTCTTTCCATCCTCTCTAGAGGATCCCCAGGATCCCCTGGGGATTTGGAGAGATGCAATCCTCTCAGACATTGAAGATGTAATCCTCTCATTCCTGGGTGGGATGGAGGGTTTTGCAATCTCAGGAAAGGCTGTGACAGGAGGGGTAGCCCGGCTTACAGATACCAATGCTCCTCTGTCATTTTCCTTGAGCCACCAGATGTTGGGATCGACCAAAGAGAGGACTTAAAGGGGGAATGCAAATGTGACCTCTTTTTCATCTTCTTTTTTCTTTATGTTTTTCCCCTAGTCCATCCAGAAAGATCTGTGGTACTTTGGGCCACTAAGTCCCTCAGGAATCCTGGGACGCATTGGCAGGCCCAGAGCTGACCTCAGAAGCACTCCTGCCAGGCACGGTGGCTCACCCTTATCATCCCAGCACTTTGGGAGGCCGAGGCACGCAGATCATTTGAGGTTAGGAGTTTGAGACCAGGCTGGCCAACATGGTGAAATCCTGTCTCTACTCAAAGTACAAAAAAAATTAGCCAGGTGTGGTGGCAGGCTCCTGTAATCCCAGCTACACGGGAGGCTGAGGCAGGAGAATCACTTGAACCTGGGAGGCGGAGGTTGCAGTGAGCCAAGATCACACCATTGCACTCCAGCCTGGGCAACAGCGCAGAATGCCAGTCAAATTAAAAAAAAAAAAAAGACATACTCCCTTCTTCACTCACCTCCTCAGCACCTGCTTCTCAGGTGTGTATGCAAGCACAGCAAGAATAGCCAGGCTGTGTTCATTTTCTGCTGCTGCTATAATAAATGGCCACAAACGTGGTAACCTAAAACCACACACATTTGCTCTCTACAATCCTAAAGGGCAGAAATCCTAAGTCTGTTTCACTGGCTAAAGTCAACGTGTCTGCAGGGCTGCATTTCTGCTACTAAGGGAAACTTCCTTGCCTTCCCTGGCTCTAGAGCTGATTCCCTGGCTGGCAACCCCTCCCTCCATTGTAAAGACCGCAGCCCAGGATCTCCCCAGGGGTCACAAGGCCTTCTTTTTCTGTATCAAATCTCTCTCTGCTTCCTTCTTGTAAAGACCCTTTGATTACATTTATGTCCCACCCGAATAATCCAGAATAATCTCGCCATCACAAGAGTAAGTGAATCACATCTGCAAAGTTCCTTTTGCTATATCAAGTCACATTCCGAGTTTCCAGGCATTAGGATGTAGATATCTTTGTGGGCCCAGGGGCCGTTATTCAGTCAGCCACACAGGCCCTGTCAGGGCATTGGCTCCCTTCCCCAGTGACATGTATGCCACTGCCACGCCCCCTCCCCAGCCTCAGAATCCCTTCCCCAGTGGCTTCCTGGGGCTGTTCTCCCAGGCACTAGAAGTCCAGGTCCCTCCCACTCTCCCAGCCAGGCCACAAAACAAACCTGGAGAGGCACCTGTGACCCACCTGGCCAGGAAGGCCACAGGACCACAGAAGATGAGATTAAAGATGGAGTCTAATGGGGGAGGCTGCAGGGAGGTAGCTGCTCAGAGGTGAGGTGGACAGTAGCAGCCCTGTCCCTAACCCTCAGATATCTACAAGGACCAGGGCCATGCGGGCTCCCCACTTCCTCGTCTGTGTTGAGGGGAGTGTGTTGATGAGGCCCAGGCCCCACTGATCCCTGCTGTGTCTGTGCCCCAGTTGTGGGGTTGCCAGGTAGAATATCGAACAGGGCTGGTCCACCAGCCTCAAAGTTGGACAGGATGATGGACATCCAGTGTCCATGCACGTGTGTACACACACACCCACCCACCCCTACACCCCAACCCCCAGATGTCCCAGGCAATGGCGTTGGGCTCAAAGCCGGCCAAGGTAACCCCGACAAGGCACCACAGCCTAGACGTGGAGCTTGGTGTAACCGCTTTGAAGGCCACCTTCCTGGGCTCCAGAGGCTGAACTCCTTCTGTCATTTGCACATCAGCAGTCTGGGCCCGAAGCACACATTCTCTGTGGCTGCTTGTTTATTTGTCTAGAAGTGGTTTTTAGGGGAAGGTCCCGGGAAGGGAGGCACTTCTGGAACTAGGCATCAATCTGTGTATGTGTGTGTCTCTAAGGATACAAATTTATTACAGTAAAAATTCTGTTTTACTAAATGTATCCTGGATTGGATCCTAGAACAGGGGGAAAAAAAGGACACGAGTGGAAAAACCGGTGAAATCTGAATCAAGTCTAGAGTTTGGTAAATAACCATGTACCCGTGTTAATCTCTCCGTTTTCACAAATGTACCACAGTTATGTAAGATGTCAATATCAGGGGAAGCTGGGTGTGGGGCATACAGGAACGTTCTGTACTATCTTTGCGACTTCTCTGTGAATCTAAAATTATTCTGAAATAAAAGCTTTATTTAAAAATTCTGTTTCAGCTGGGCATGATGGCACATGCCTGTAATTCCAGCACTTTGGGAGGCTGAGGGAGAAGGATCACTTGAGCTCGGGAGTTTGAGGCTAGCCTGGGCAGCACAGTGAGACCACATCTCAACAGCTTTTTCTTTTCTTCTTCTTTTTTGAAACCGAGTCTCACACTGTCACCCAGGGTGGAGTAAAATGGTGAGATCTCAGCTCACTGCAACCTCCACCTCAGGTTCAACCAATTCTCTTGCCTCAGCCTCCCAAGTAGCTGGGATTACAGGAGCCCACCACCACACCTAGCTAATTTTTTTATTTTTAGTAGAGACAGGGTTTCACTATGTTAGCCAGGCTGGACTCAAACTGACCTCAAGATCTGCTGGCCTTGGCCTCCCAAAGTGCTGGGATTATAGATGTGAGCCACCATGCCCTGCCTAGTTTTTTTGTTTTGCTTTTTTTTAAATTAGCGAGGCATAGTGGTGTGTGCCTGTAGTCCCAGCTACTAGGGAGGCTGAGGTGAGATTGTGTGAGCCCAGTAGGTAGAGGCTTCAGTGAGCTGTGATTGTACCACTGCATTCCAGCCTAGGCAACAGAGCAGAACCCAGTTTTTAAGAAAATAAAAATTTAAAAAGGCCAGGCACAGTGGCTAATGCCTGTAATCCTAGAACTTTGGGAGGCTGAGGCAGGCGGATCACCTGAGGTCAGGAGTTTGAGACCAGCCTGACCAACATGGTGAAATGCTGTCTCCACTAAAAATACAAAAATTAGCTGGGCGTGGTGCGTGCCTGTAATCCCAGCTACTTGGAGGCTAAGGCAGGAGAATCACTTGAGCCTGGCAGGCAGAGGTTGCAGTGAGCTGAAATAGTGACACTACTCCAGCCTGGGCAACAGACTCTACCTCAAAAAAAAAAAAAAGATCATCCTGAATTACGTGAGTGGGCCCTAAGTCCAGTCGGTGACAAGTGTTCTTCTTGTAAACATAGAAGAGAAGCCACAGGAGGAGGAGACGATCGAGGCAGGGATTGGAGTGAAGCAGCCACAAGCCAAGGACCAGCAAGCACACCGGGAGCCGGCAGAAGCTGGAAGAGGTGGGCCCCACCGGGGTCTTCAGAGGGCAGACCCTTTCAGACATGTTGATTTCAGGCTTCTGGCCTCCAGAAAGAACTACGAGAGAATACATTTCTGTTGCTTTAAGCCACAAAGATTAGGGGTAATTTGTTCCAGCACTCCTAAAACACAAATACAATGACTTAAGCTAGCTTAATTCTCCTAGACCCTGCCTGACTCCCAGCAAAGCTATTCCTATGTTGTCTGCCCGAAGCATTGGCAAGGACACACATACAAACACACACACATGAACACACATGCACAGAACATGTATGCAGACACACAGACACACATGAATGTACGGGTACACATGGACAAACACACATGCACGAGCACACATGCACGCACAGACATGCACGGGCACACATGAACACATGCATAGAGACATGCACAGACACACATGAACACATGCACACACACATGCACAGAGACACACACAAACATGAAAAGTATGAACGCACATGGACACACAAACACACACGGACACACGAACACACACAAATGTACAGGTACGCATGGACACACAAACACACATGCACAAAAACACATGCACACACAGACATGCACAGACACACATGCACACACAGACATACAGGAACATACCCAAACACATGCACACACAGATACACATGGTCACACACAAACACACATGCAAACATGGACACACATGAACACGCCCAAACACATGCACACACAGACACACATGGTCATGCACGAACACACATGCACACAGACACACATGGACATGCACGAACATACTTGCACACACAGACACACATGAACACACATGTATCTCTGCTAATTTACATCATGGTCTCAGCTCTTCCCCAAGAACACGATGAGTGGTTCCTGAGAAGGAAGGGGTTGAACTAGGAAATCTGTCAAGATTGACACAAAGCTGGGGTAGGGGAATGGGCAGGCAGGGTGACAGTTGACCTGCAGGGCCCTCCACGCCTTCCCTCTGGATGGGCAACAGGAACTCAGGCACTTTTGGTTTCTGGGCTGAAAATAGAACCTTTTGGGAAGACTGGAACCATGCAGAAGCAAAGGAGCAACAGGCGGACCCCTCCAAACACCGCCAGCGAAGGGAGCCAAGAGTGGCCCCCACGTCCAGGGGCCACAGGAAGGAGAGGCAGCCACAGAGCCTCCGAGGCAGGTGTGAGGGAAAGGGAGGCCCTTGGGGTGGGCACGGCAGGCTCACTGCGGCAGGTACTCAGTTGGGAAGGCTTGCTTCAGGGTGAACATGAGAAAGACGATCTCCTTGTAATCATTGGCTTCGTACAGACACCCAAACAAGGGGGACCCGTCGGGGCCAGTGCCCATGCTCTGGAGGTCTGAGTAGGCACAGCTGCCCTTGGCCAGCAGTACCGGCTCTGACCAGGCCTCGGGGGCTGGAGGCCGAGGGTTGAGGTAGGCGCCCAGGTTGGTCCTCTGCCAGGAGTGTGTGGGGTGAGTGTAGAGCAGCCACTGGGCTGGGGAGCCAGGCCCCGAGCGGGGACTGGGGAAGCTGATGATGCTCCCCTGGCAGCCCTGGGGCGGCTCCACCAGCTTCTTCACCAGCTGAGACTCCTGGAAATCAAGCCCATCATTGGTGCTCTGGGCCTGGACCCTGGCTCGGAGGTGGCTTCTCGCACTGAGGGTCACTATCCTCTGCTCCCCAGCCCCAACTTCGGCCACCTGGCACTCCAGGGTGTCCTGGGCCACAAAGTGCCCTCGCTGCCATGTGTGTCCATGGTCACGGCTGAGGAAGCAGAAGGCAGAGGGGCTTGGCCTTTGGATGGAGTCAAGGTTCCGATAGGCATAGGCGGGCACCACCAGGCTCCGGGCCCTGTCGCGCAGCTGCAAACAGTGTCCCGGGCCCACTGCAAAGGTGGCCCACTCTTGGTAGGCTGGGCCGATGGCCGCGTCAGTGAGGTCTCTGGGGGAGCTCCAGGTCCTCCCATGGTCAGTGCTGGTGACTTGGCACAGCCGCGTGACATTGGCCCTGGTCTGCAGCTGGTGTTGCTCTGAGACTTGCCCAGGGATGGCAATGAAGAAGAGGAAGAGGGTCCCCGTGGGCTCATCACACAAGGGACATGGGTTCATGGACCGGTGGCCACGCAGCTGGGCCTGGGCCACCACCTCCTGAGCTTGCCACTGAGTGGGGAGAGAGGAAGAAGAAGACAGCCTTGAAACAGCTGGGGATGGTACCAGGAGCTGTGCACGTGGATGGGTGCGCACGGGCATGTCTCCCCGGGTTAGAGTCAGAAGTCATCGAGGAGAACTCTTCATGCAGCACTCATATCCTCACAACGTTTCCCCCACCCCATCCCTCCAAGGCAGCCACGCTCAGCTGAGTGGCTCTGTTCCTTCCATTCCCATCAATATACATTTACAGAACACCCACATGCCAGACACGATACGAAGATGACTTGTGCCTGAGCCATTCCCAACTTCATCCTGGTCACTCTACTTCCCAGCCCAGTCCAGCTCACCCTCCTGCAATAGCAACGACCTGGCAGGAACTGCAACAGCCTGTCAGTATAAGACAGAGTGTGACAGTCACCTCTCCCTTCCTATGCTCCATATCCTACTCATGTAGCCAAGCAGGACTTACACCGAACTTCCAGAATCCCCAAGTCTACGTCATATATCCTGTCTGTCCCCATTTCATAACAACTACCCTCACTGAACAATTCTAAGCACAGGCATGGCACCAAAAGTCTAACATCCACAGTCTCATCTAATGCCCCAACCCCTGGGGGACAAGTGTAAATAGCTCCACTGTTACGGGGATCAAGAGACTGAGACAGGGTAGAGGAATTGCCCAGACCTCTGGTCAGTGGTGGAACAAGGACTTGAACCTAGGTCCATCTGCTTCAAATCACATGCTTTAAACAGCTGCGTAGTGATGGCCACAAAGGAATGGTAATAATGTTAAACACTGCCGGGCGCGGCGGCTTACACCTGTAATCCCAGCACTTTGGGAGGCCTGAGGTTGGGAGTTTGAGACCAGCCTGACCAACATGGAGAAACCCTGTCTCTACTAAAAATACAAAAATTAACCAGGCGTGGTGGCACATGCCTATAATCCCAGCTACTCGGGAGATTGAGGCAAGACAATCACTCGAACCCAGGAGGCAGAGGTTGCGGTGAGCTGAGATTATGCCGTTGCACTCCAGCCTGGGCAACAAGAGCAAAACTCCATCTCAAAATAATAATAATAATATTAAACCCTTCAAATATGATCAGGCAGCCTTGGGTGCTGTCATCAGGATTAATTACTTAATCTATAAGCTGGAACTTCGGGACACAAGCCATCCCCCGCCCCAGCACCCCAAGTTAATTTTACTCAAGGACACAACCTCTCGTTATGCAACACTGAACTATTCCTCCCTCAGGTTATCAAGGAGGCTGGGAAACTCTTTCATTCAGGAAAACAGATGGAGGCCAACAGGACATATTTATGGTGACCTCAGAGGTCCAGGTGACCACTGGGGGCATTTTCTCTGCCCTATCTCTCCCCTAGATCTCAGCCATGGAGGGATGAAGTTGTCCCCGTATTCCGTGCAATCCAGCCTGGCCCCTCATCACAGCAGCAAAAGGTGCACACAGGGCCCTGGAGAGCAAGGGCAGCTGCCTCCTGCCTCACCTGAACCTGCTGGGTGGACGTGTCATAGCCTCCTCTGCGCAGGACAATCACCTCCGCGTCCTCATCCTTCTTGCTTGCCCGCTGTTCTGCGAAGGCCAGCAGGGTCTGCTGCCCGGGCAGGTAGAGCAGGGCAGGGATTCTGTAGGCGTGAGCTCCCAACTGGAACACGCTCTCCTTCTGCAGGACGGGGACAGATGCCATGGGGCTGGGGATGGACAGGAGGCAATGTGTCACCTGCAGCCACACCTGAGATGGGTCCAGAGTCATTCACCCAGACAAGTGATGCTCAACCCCTGGCCGAGTGGACCAATGTCAGGGTGGCCTATCCTCCGATAGGTGGCACATCCTCCTATGTAGGGTTCATTCTCCTTTCCTACATCCCAAGACCCTGCTTCTTTTTTTACTTTTATTCACTTATTTATTTATTTTGAGACAGAATCTCACTCTGTCACCCAGGCTGGAGTGCAGTGGCACGATCTTGGCTCACTACAACCTAAGCCTCCTGGGTTCAAGCGATTCTCGTGCCTCCGTCTCCCAAGTAGCTGGGACTACAGGCGCTGGCCACCATGCCTAGCTGATTTTTTTTTTTTTTTTTTTTCGTATTTTTAGTAGAGACAGGGTTTCACTGTGTTGGCCAGGCTGGTCCTGAACTCCTGACCTCAAGTGATCTGACCAACTCGGCCTCCCAAAGTGCTGGGATTACAGGCATGAGCCACCATGCATGACTTGACCCTGCTTCTTTTTTTTTTGAGATGGAGTTTCGCTCTTGTTACCCAGGCTGGAGTGCAATGGCACGATCTCGGCTCACCGCAACCTCTGCCTCCTGGGTTCAGGCAATTCTCCTGCCTCAGCCTCCTGAGTAGCTGGGATTACAGGCACGCGCCACCGTGCCCAGCTGATTTTTTGTATTTTTAGTAGAGACGGGGTTTCACCACGTTGACCAGGATGGTCTCGATCTCTTGACCTGGTGATCCACCCACCTCGGCCTCCCAAAGTGGTGGGATTACAGGCGTGAGCCACCGCGCCCGGCCGACCCTGCTTCTTAATTCTGCCTTTGCCTCTGGTAGACATTGGGAGGGAATATTGCAGAAGGGTGTTTTGGATTCGATTATTGTAAGTTAACAAAGCTCCTTGCAACAGAGTTTTGATAACCTCCAGCTGCTTTTGCCAAGCCCAGCCCATCAATCCAGGGGCAAACCTTGGGAGGACAGCAGTGCAGGTCGGGTGGCATTTGCCAGCTGCCCAAACGCCGGAAAGTGACACATGGGAGCTTTTTATAACTCCAGAACCCTGCAAAGTTGTTTCAGGAAAAAAGGAGGAAAAAGAAAAAGCGCGGCTTCTAAGGCTCTGCTCCTCAGGCTGCCTGAGGCTGAGGCCCAGCTGCCCCCTCTGCGTGGGCTCCCCCTCAGGCAGCGAGGGGGCGGTGTGGGCGGTGTGGCAGTGGGAAAGGAAGGAAGAGACAGCGGCTCCTGACAGCTAACCCAGGCGGGGGCTTGGCGTGCTCCACAGGTCTAAGAAAATAAGAATTCAAAATCAGTCTTCGGCTGCAAAGGGTAGGGAGGGGACACAGGTAACTTGGGGACAAAGTGTGACAGCAGTTTTTGGACTGGGCTGCCTAGGTCCCTTTAAGAGAATGTATCCCCCAGCTCTGGGGAGTGTTGGCTGCAAGGCCCTGGTTTGGGGAGGAGGGGCCAGTTGTCCCCAGATGAACAATCTGCCCCAGGCCACACCCAAAAAGGGCTGCAGAATGATTGGTCCACCCAGAGCCTAAAGACCCTCGTCCGACCTCCCACCAGGAACAGCACGGGCTCAGGAGCTCCCTCGGGCAGCTGGGCCTTCCCTGAGACTGCATTGCAGCCACCTCTTTCTCTGCCGCTCCTCCCTTTCCAGGGAGGCTCCTGCCTGCATGGGTCTCCAGGTCAGAGCCAGCATCCTAGGTACCCGGTCTGAGACATGGCCTTTGCAGAAGGCAAGTGGGCAAGGGGCCAGCAAGAGGGCTGAGGTCTGCCTTTGTGCGTCCTTTTGTACTGCTCCCATTTTTCTCCCACGAGCATGTGTTATCTATTTAAAACTTAGCTTCTTTGAGAAATAAATGTAATCTATCAGTCTTTCATTCAACCACAGTGAACACGAATATTAGGACGATTCAAGAAGATAAAACTCAGAGGGGCAAATGATGCTCAGGAAAAAAATGTGCTAAAATGTGCTATTGCCTAAACTTGGGCGGAAGAATCAGGGCTTATTGATAAAATCTAGACCTGCAAATTGCAATCTAAGAAAACAGGGCTTGACGGACATCGGGAGGCCTATGCTGAAACGATATAAAATGTCAGAGGGAAGCAATCAAATATGATAACAAGGAAAAATGAAAATGGAGGAGAACCGTGCAGTTTCACAGTGTTCTCTCGAAACCTGATCAAGGATGTATTTAAGCTCTGTGGAGTCCGCTCTGGAGAGTGTGTCCTTGATGGGAATTCTACAGAGTTGGCATGTTCAATTTAAAATGTTTGTATTTAAAATGTCCTCAGGGCCAAAACTTTCTGTACGGATGGCAATGAGCTGGCCTTCTCTATACAATGTGGGAGGAAGGAAGGAAGGGAAGGAGGTTAGCTGAGGAAATTTTTTTTTTTTTTTTTTTTTTTGAGACGGCGCTTCGCTCTTGTTGCCCAGGCTGGAGTGCAACGGCACAATCTTGGCTCACCGAAACCTCCACCTCCAGGGTTCAGGTGAATCTCCTGCCTCAGCCTCTTGAATAGCTGGGATTACAGGCATGCATCAGCATGCCCAGATGATTTTTTTGCATTTTTAGTAGACACAAGGTTTCACCATGTTGGCCAGGCTGGTCTCGAACTCCTGACCTCAGGTGATCCGCCTGCCTCAGCCTCCCAAAGTGCTGGGATTATAGGCATGAGTCACCATGCCCAGACAGCTGAAGAAATCTATAAAGACATTCTAGAGGGTAAAACAAGACAGACAGGGTCTTTGGAGTTGAGTGGGGCTCCAGACTAAGGCTTAGGAAAGGGGCTGGTGGGCTCCATGAGGTACGTGTGGCCAGAGCTGGTGGCTCATGCCTTAGAGAGAAGACGGAGCAAGGGAAAGAACAGGGGCTTCAGAGCTGGTGGCTCATGCCTTAGAGAGAAGACGGAGCAAGGGAAAGAACAGGGGCTTCAGGCTAGCACTAGGGAGTGAAGCCACTGGCTGGCCCACCCTCAAGGAGAGAACCACTCTCAATGTTTAAAATTGAGATATGTGGTCAGGCACGGTGGCTCACGCCTGTAATTCCAGCACTTTGGGAGGCAGAGGCAGGTGGATTGCTTGAGTCCAGGAGTTCCATACCAGAGTGGGCAACACGGCAAAGCCTCATCTCTACAACAAATATAAAACTCAGCCCGTCATGGTGACACATGTCTATAGTTCCAGCTACTTGGGAGGCTAAAGGGGAAGGATTGCTTGAGCCTGGGAGGTGGAGGTTGCAGTGAGCTGAGCTAGTGCAACTGCACTCCAGCCTGGGCAACAGAGCAACACCCTGTCTCAAAACAAAAAATAAAATAAAATAGAGATATAATTCTCATACGATACAATTTACCTTTTAGAAGTGTATGATTCAGGCTGGGTGCTATGGCCCATGCCTGTAATCCCAGCACTTTGGGAGGCCAAGGCTGGTGGATCACCTGAGGTCAGGAGTTTGAGAAGTGCCTGACTCAGTGGTTTTTAGTATTTTCATAAAGTTATACACCCCAAAAGAAATCCCTTTCCTGTGAGCAGCCACTGTCCTGTCAATGAAAACATACAAACTCTGTAAAATATCTGAAGAGATTTATACTATGCTATCCTATTTATACCTGGGCAACAGAGCAAGATCCTGTCTCAAAACAAAACATAAAATAAAATAGAGATGTAATTGACATGCTATAAAATTTATAAAGGAGACTTATAGCCAAATTTGAGTAACCAATGGCTCGTGACACAACCCCAGGAGATCCTGTGGTCAGAGTACAGCTTGGTTTTATACATTTTAGGGAGACTTAAGACATAAATCAATACATGTAAGATGTATGTTGGTTCCTTCTGGAAAGACAGGACAACTCGAGGTGCGGTAAGGGAGGCAGTTTCCAGATCACAGGTAGATTCCAAAAATATTCTGACTGGCAGTTGGTCAAAAAGAGTTTATCTAAAGACCTGCAATCAATAGAAAGGAATGTCTGGGTTAAGATGAGCCATTGTGGAGACCAAGGTTTCATCATGCAGTGAGGCCTCCAGGGGGCAGGCTTCAGAGCACTCCGCAGACCTAAAAAGGTACCAGAGTCTCGGAGAATTCTCTCCCGGATCAGGAAAGGACCTGGAAAGGGAAGGGAATTCTCTACAGAATGTGGAGACAGCTTTGCAGGACCATTTCAAAATACGTCAAAGAAATACATTGTGGAGGGTGAAATACTTTCATTTCTTCCAAGGCCTGTGACACTGCTGCAGGTAGGTTGGAATTTAGTGTCATATTGCTATACAAAGTCTGTTTCATTAGTCTTAAGATGTATTTTAGCTGGGTGCAATGGCTCATGCCTGTAATCCCAACACTTTGGAAGGCTGAGGCGTATGGATCACCTGAGGTCAGGAGTTCAAGACCAGCATGGACAACTTGGAGAAACCTCATCTCTACTAAAAATACAAAAATTAGCTGGGCATGGTGGCACGTGTCTGTAATCCCAGCTGCTCGGGAAGCTGAGGTAGGAGAATCGCTTGAACCTGGGAGGCGGAGGTTGCAGTGAGCACTCGAGTCTGGGTGACAGAGCAAGACTCCACCTCAAAAAAAAAAAAAAAGAGAGAGATTTGTTTTAATGTTAGTGCTTGTCAGCTGTATATGAATTTCAAAAGGAGTAAGGTGGGAGACATGTCTGACCCCCACTTCCCATCACGGCCTGAACTAGTTTTTCAGGATTCCACAACAACCACACAGAGTCAACAGTTGGGAGTGGGGCCGTGGGGCCGTGGGCAGCTTATCCTGGAGGAAGAGCCTTTGTTTGTTCTTGGCTGGGTTTGGAGTGGGACTTGACCTGCTGGCTCCCACATCGGACTAACGCCATCTCTCCAACAGCAGGGAGCTGCGTGCCTCCGTTCAGCTAACACAGAGTAACCCTGGAGGCAGCAAGCCCCATGCATGGTCAGCCTCTTTCCCCAAGCAAAAACCGTTTCCAGTGGCTTCCACA